GCCTGGCTTGACCACTTCATCAAGCATGTTAATGCAGAGCCTGATAAGCACTGGTGTACTCTCCTCCTTGACTACTATATTACCCACTATTAAGATGATTTTATTATCAAATACCACAAGAACCACATCATTCCCATTGAATTTCCCTCTCATCTTACCCATGTCTTACAATCTTTGGACATTGGTGTCTTCTGTCCTTGGAAGTACTACTATAACAAAGCTATTTACAATGCTCTCTACTCATTAGACATCGAATATACTATGTCCTCCTTCTTCTGTGACTTGAGCTCTATCTGTGAGTAAACCTTCCAGCCATTCACTATTAAAAACTCTTTTAAAGAGTCAGAAATGTTCCCAGTATCTTTTAAGAAAGCCTTAAAGAAGATGCAGCCTTATAACAAAAAGGGAAAAGTGGCTGCAAACGTTCTCACAAATTCAGGTAGCAGCTAAGGAGATAGCCAGAACTACACTAGTGTATCAGTTGATTAGGGTGGAAAGTTGGAACTTCTGATACTTCCCAGCACCTATTTTAACTGCCAGAAAAGACTTGGTAAGTAGGTTGAGCATGCAGAAACCTTTAGTCCATCTTCGAAGGACCGCTTTCAACAATGGGCTAAAGAGACTCAAGTACTTCTTGCTCAAGCAGAACTTCAAAGAGAATCTTATCAGAATATCCAAACCAGAATTTAGGAGGAGAAAAAGCGCAAAAGTAAGTCTCGCAGGGTTGTTTAAAAAAGTGGCATCATTACTGTTGAAGCTGCAAGACAAAGAAAGAAGGAAAAAGAAGAGTAGGAGAAGGCAGCTGCAATTAAGAAGGCTCACAAGAATATTCAAGTTGCAGTGAACAGAGCTAAGACAGCTCTCAATCGCCACAGTATTAATGCTTGCAAGGCAGAGAAGGAAAGAAAGCAGCAAGTCAGGAATATTCTAAATAAGGGGAAATTGTTCCTGCTGAGCTGCAAATACCAATTCATGATCTGGAGAAGAATCCTAGTGCTCAAGATCTTAGGTCACTGGAACCACCTCCTGATCTCTTGTAAGCTCTCTTACTGCTAGAACTCCCATCTGTTTGTTATTCTAATATTATTGACCCTCAAGTGCTGGCTCTTAGTGGTGAAGTTGGAAATAGGCATACAAGCTAAGAGAGACCAGAAACTAGTCACCCTGAAGATAATTCTCCAGATTTGGGCAGTAAATCAGACTCTGATTCTTCATGTACATCAAATAACTTAATTACTATAAATGCTAACTTTGTAGCATTCAATTAAAGTTGTGATTTATAACCATTGTTATGTAGAACTCTAAAAAAATTAAATAAAACCTGGCGCGCCATACTTGCTTCTCCATCACATTTGCTTTTACCGACTATGAGCAACGCGAAATAGGAGTAGAACCAGCTATTACATTAAACATGTTAAAAATTAAATTTAAACAATAGAAATCTTAACCATTAAACATTAATTCCTTTAGGACTCCATGAAAGCAGGGTAAAAAACCTTCTGTGTTTGCTTGATCACAGAAGGAAAATCTTTTCTTTATCATCCTTCCTCTGTCCATCATAGCATTTCCTAGTTATCTCACTGGAATTCTTCCACCATTTTCATGATATCATCCATACCTGTTGCAGGCTCTCAAGTGTTCTCATCTTGAGAATAACCTTGCCATTTCGAAAGTACTATAGTTCACATACTTCCTGGTAGTGACTGCATACTCTTTTCCTGTAAGAGTGTATTTCACTTCTTACAATTTTTTCTATCTTCCATTGCAAGTCACGATCTATATTCTCAGGTTCCCTGGAAGGCTGTTACTGGTCACTGTGTACAAACTCTCATCAGCAAAAATAAATACCTCCATCCTATGCATCCTGTGCATCTGATATTCCAGACTCTCTTAACGTAAACTCCCAATCCAGATGAATCTACACAGACCCATTGTGTCCGGACGTGGACTATATTCCTGGACCCATAGGACAAACTCCAATACCCTCTATTAGCTACCTCTCTCTCAAGAATGGGCTACCTGCACTCCACTACTCCATACCTGTCTGGTCCCCTGGTTCCCCTCACCTAACTCGTTATGATTTTTAATACTTTCCTAAGATGATCTCTTAAGGTTTCTCGCTACTGCTATTACCACCTTGCAACTGGCAATTTTGTCTGAACGATGATTTAATAATGTCCAGTATATGCAAAAAAAGCAGTAGTATTAGAAAACAGTAGACGTCAGGTATCAGTTACCACAATACAGGGAGTATAAGGAAGATGGCCCAGTATCATCAGCAATTTGCTAGCATTGCCTCTTTTTATTCAGAAGCCTTCCATACCCCCCCGACTTTATAGTAACCGGTACCCAACATCTACTATCTTCTGATGCCACTTTGCCTTTTTTTGTATCTGCTGCACATCTTTGCATAGTTCTCTGAGATTCTTCGTATCGCCCGCGAGCTGTTTCCAGATATGGTTTGTCACTAGAAGACCCACAACCTCCTTTGCAGCTTCCCATGGTCCACCAGATTACTCCAGCCAGTACTCTTCAATTACCTCGATTTCTGACTTCAGTCAGAGTCAGGACTGTCACAGCTCACAGCTTGTACTGAATTTTGTCCACTGGCTCTGATCTAGACTTGTTTTGCCTTTTTCTAGACTTTTTTGACCAGTATACAGTCACTTGATACAAGTGTTCCTGAAACTAGTCTCAGATGACTAAGCTACCTCACCAAAATGCCACCTTTCAATGAAGTGTAAAGTTGATCGTGACTATTTACAAATCTACACCCACTGAAGCCTCCTTTACCTAATTAATTAATTTATTAATTTCCTCTACCTTTTTTACCAATGGTTAAGCGTTTTGGAAGTACGAAGTATGCCGCGAAAAAAAGACTCCCACCTAAAACCACCCAGAGAGAAATGAGCCTTGCAGAGAAGAGCATGATAATCACCTTTTTCTATTGCCTCCGGAACATTACCTTGGTGGCTCAAATTATTAGACGCCTATGGACAACAGTTAAGAGCTTTCTTGTCCAGGTATGTGAACGCCAATCTCTTGAAAATCTCCCTTGTCCTGGTCGTACCTCTATTTTGAGTAGTCAACAGCATCGAACAATTATACATGCAGCCAAGTTCAATCGGAAAATGACCAAATGTGCCTTCAGAGATCGCTATGCACTCGGTGTTTCTCTTGATACTGGTAACTCTTTATACTACCTAGAGTGACCAGATATGATTGCCTACTAAATTTGCCTGCATAGTAGACTGGGTACTCAGAGAAGTAAATATTAAAAAATGGATAGCCAAGTTAAGACTTAGGCTAAAGCCTGATCATATGGCTAAGAGATTGAGATGGGCTACAGCTCATAGGAACTGGACAGCTGAGGATTTTGAAAGGGTAATTTGGAGTGATGAGTACAGTGTGGAGAAATCCAAGGATCCAATGCAATAATGGGTGTTCAGAGAACCTGCAGAGAAGTGGTTGGCTGATTGTGTACACCCAAAGGAGAAGGATAAGGGAATCTCGCTTATGGTTTGGGGGTGCTTTTGGGGTATAAGAAAAGGTCCATTAGTTCCTATTACTCAAGCTAACAATAAGACCAGGTATGTTAGACTTTTGAGAAGATATCTTTTTCCTGTTATTTATCAAATGATTTCCTTTGGTATACAACTTGAAGATGTTCTTTTTCAGCAAGATAATGCTCCTATTTACAAGGCATATAGTGTTATGGATTGGTTGGAGAAAAACAGTATTAAGGTTGTGGACTACCCTCCTTATTTCCCTGATTTAAATTCTATTGAGCATGTATAGGTTGAGATTAAAAAGCGATTGCACCAGTAGTATCCAAGGATTGCAGATACTCCAGGAGGAAAACAGGCTATTAGGAGAAAACTTGTACATGTATTACCATTGGTTTGGGAGACAATTCCTGAGGAGTTTTTTGAGAATTTGTGGAAATCAATACCTGATAGGGTGGCTGCAGTTTTAGAAGCAAGGGGGGGTTATACAAAATATTAGCTAGTTTAATTTATGGCAGGTCAATTGACCGTTGAATGTTGAGAGGTGCCAGTAATTGTTGATCATGAACTTGAACTCGCACGTGCACACGCCCATTGACAACCCCACCAGCACTGCCCCACCATATGGCACAACCGCAATTAAACTTTGTCTCAAATCATAAACACTTCTGCCAAGTGACTGTATACAATCCATAACATAGACAGAGGCCTAGCGCTATCATAAGGCGAGAAGAAGAAAGAAGAAGAAAAGTATCATTCCCCGTCACCAAGAACTAACCATCCAAAGGGGGATTGTTATATAAGCTTAGTCTGGATACACATCAGTATGCTACTGAAATTCACCAGCCATACCTTATCCCTTCATTGAAGAGATAAATAGATCCCCAGGCACTAATGATATGGCTGCTAATATTACATCATGGCATAATAGATTGGATAACAAGAAATTGCCGGAGGATTGTGGTTATCAAAAACTGTCTTGGCCTCTCAACCCTCCAGATCTCAATCCTATTCAGAATGCCTGGTCCCTTCTCAAAAGGCACTTAAAAAGCAATTTTCCAGTTTCAAAAGAAGGCATCACAGTGCTGCTGAATTATTTCAAGCTGCCAAGGAGGAGTGGGAGCATATTCCCCAAGAGACAATCGACAGGAGTGAATTAAAAGGATGCCTGAGAGACTTCAGGCTGTACTGGATGCAGATGGAGGCCATACAAAATGGTAAAGTATTTAAGATTTTCTATTATATTTCTTCTACCATCTATTCTGTAATTGAGTTGTTGAGATTTTTTTTTAAATTTTCAAGTTTCCATTTTGTTGGAGAGGTGTGGTTGCGTGGAGGGCTACGGAAACTCATTAGACACGAGTGTACTAGTACAGTAGTGCCAAGGTGGCCGAAAACCCCGTACTCGAGCTTAGCGCCTTTCTTTCTCTCTCAACTCCGCCGAGAAGGGAAGAGAGGGAGGAAAGAAGGATGGAAGGATGGAAGAAAAGTAGGCCGTCTTTATCCTGAGACTAGATTGACTTGGCCTTGCAGCTTTGCTTTGCTTGCTTGCGGTACCCGGTACTTCTTTCGTTCTACTCGTCTGCGTCTGTCTTCTCACTCTTTGCACTTCTCTCCTCCTCCCCCTCTTCCTCTCCGCTGGTCCAGGAATCTGGCATGAGCGACGTAGTCCCCTCTTCCTTCCCTCACTAGCTCTGCCCTCCTGTCACCAGCAATCTCACAACCGCCCATACAAGTAAATTACAAGTGCTTTCCCTTTTCCCACGATCCAACCCAACCGACCCTACTACTCTCTCCCTCCCACCGCACCCCTCCAGTCTATCCATCACATCCTCCAACCCGCTTCATAAATCTACTATACTCGGACACATACAATGCCTACTCATCCCAAACAAAGAAAAATTGCGATCGTGGGTAGCAGAGCTGTCGGTACGTTTCCCTTTCCACTCTCTAAGCCCAATCCACCCCTTCACATACCTTGTTTCCCCGGTTGGCTGAAGGGGACGTGTGTGTGCGTTATAGGCAAATCCTCGTTGACAGTGCAATTCGTCGAAAATCACTTTGTCGAGTCGTATTATCCTACCATTGAGAATACCTTTTCGAGGGTTATCAAGTACAAGGGTCAGGAATATGCGACTGAGATTATTGACACCGCCGGGCAGGTAAGAGTTCCGTAGCCACTATTTGCTTTTCTTCCTCCCGCTTTATTTTCTTTTATAAAAAAAATGCGAATCTGAATGTGCACGAGTGACCCTTGACCTTGTCCATATGCTGATGTAGATCTGGATGCAGGACGAGTACAGCATTCTCAACTCTCGCCATTCTATCGGGATTCATGGATATATGCTCGTCTACTCGGTTGCCTCTCAACAGTCGTTCGAGATGGTCAAGATTATTAGAGACAAAGTTCTTACGCACCTCGTGTGTTATCCTTATCCGGATCCCGCTACCTCCATGGGAAGTGATTGGTTACTAAATGCTGGTTTCGTGTTCTCCTACAGGGCGCGGACTGGGTCCCCATCGTCGTAGTCGGGAACAAGTCGGACCTACACATCCAAAGACAGGTCACGGCCGAGGAAGGGAAGGTTTTGACCCAGCAGTGGAACTGTGCCTGGACCGAGGCCTCTGCTAGGCATAACGAAAATGTGGCCAAAGCATTTGAATTGATGATTGCTGAGGTGGAGAAGGCCCAAAACCCTTCGCAGGCCACAAATGGTGGTAAATGCATCATCATGTAATCGGTTCGCCTTCACCCACCATGTTCCGTTCACCCTTGCCCTCGTCTTCCACTTTTCTCCTCACCTCTATCCATCTTCGAGAATGCATCTGATGTCAAGTGATCTTCTTACAACTGACCCGTTGATCTCGGTGCAACTACAAGGTTCCTACCGTCCTTGTGCTTCTGATTCTCCTATTCCCTACGCATCGGCGATGCGTTCGCTACACCCCCATCTCCTTTAGTTAGTGATGGAACTTTACGATTGTCATCGAATTCGAGAGGGGTTCTTTCTTTTTCTTTTTTCTCTTTCCCCTCCGAAGCTAGTTTCTTTTGTCCTGGTTTGGTCTTGACTGCCTATTCAATTATGGGGACTCTTCTCTTTTCTGTTCTTTATAACCTTTTCACTTTCTTCGTTTTTGATACGGCATAACAGTACACAAGGTTTAGAAACATGAATAATGGGGGTAGGGGTTTGGGAGAATGGGAGTTTACGTGACAATGATGATGGCGATGGTGATGGTGACCATGTATAAATTTGTTTTCCTATACGGGTTTTGATTATCTTGTATTCTTTTTTCTTCTTCGGGATGTTTTTTTGTATTAGGTTTTTGTATGCTTTTTATGGGGTATTTCTCTCTTATCTTTCTTGCACGAACACTATTATACTTTTTTTTTTCTTTTACCCCTTGCCCTAAATGAAGCCAAGACTATATTTCATATCATACAGTAGTGTTTAAAATAAAGGGAAAAGGACCATCTGGCATCATACCACGAAGAGCCAAGCTGTCATGGGGTCTTTATTGTAGGCTACTTGTTGCTCGGGGAATTGGGATTTCAAATTGGCTGAGGCAGGCACCTACGAGTACCGTACAGTAGAGCACAGCACAAGCATAGAGGACTAGCGTGCATACAACATGTTATTATGATATGATACCGACACCATTACTTGGCCTACGAGGCTACGAGACCAAAGGTTAAGGAGGGACGGAGGATGCATCTTTTGGGCACACAATTAACAGGGCAATTTGTGTAGGGCTATGAGTCTCTTCAGCATTGGCACCTGCTCTTGTATCATAGGGCAGTTCCCGGAGCGTTGTTTGTCGCACCTGGCAATGATAATATTATTATGATATTATGATTATTATCATAATTATTACTATCATGGCTATGAGGCTGGGGAGAAGGGTTGGATGACGATATATGATTTGCTTTGCCCTCAACCATTTTAGATTGAAAATTATCTGCTAAGATCATGACGAGAGATATAATATGATAACTTACAGCAGTTTTCAATGAACAGGTGGTCTTTTTTTCTCTTGGCGAGCTTCGTGACAATTTGTATCTAATACAGTATCATACCACAGAACTTGCTTTGTCACCCGTGCCATAGTAAGATGGTTGTTTGCTCTGCTATGCTTTCGCTCGACCGTCGTCGGGTTTGCCATTCTCGCCTCCACCTCGCTGGAACAAAACTCACTCGCCCGCCAGCCAACCAACGCCTCTTCTCCCCTCACGTTCCTTCCATCTTCCCCCTGATCAGTCAAACAGAACTCGAGGGAGAAAGGGAGAGAGCGCGAGAGAGTCAAATCAACCTATCCACCCACCCACACGGTCCATACTGGACTTGCACTGTGACGCCGCTTGCCGTCACTTACCTTTCCTACGTATCTATCTGCTTACCCTACCTTGCCCTGCCTCTTCGATCATACCTTTCCTTGCTTACTTGCTCTACCTCCCCCACGCTATCACCATCACCACCAACACCCAAAATTCAACCCCGCCGTGACGGGAAGGGAAGAGACAGAGGCTGTAAAAGAGTTTCAGAGAGAAGAAGAAGCATTAATTGTACACAGATAAACCGCCACAACCTAAACAACAGCGACCCCGGTCCCGCCTCCGATGACCAAGAGGAACTCTCCGGGGCCCTCGAGCTCCGAACCGCCGCGGAAACGTCCACTGAGCATCGACGCGAATGGCAAACCCAGGTTTCGCGGATGCGACAGTATCAAGGCTTACGAAATATTGGAGAAGCTTGGTGAGGGAACTTTTGGGTATGTTTGTTTGCTGTTGCCCGGAGAGGAGTGAATGGGTTGCTGGATTGGGCGGGAAGGGAGAGAGGGGGTTTAACGATAATGATGATCCGGCGTTCTAGGGAAGTACATAAGGCTCGACATAGATCTACCGGCGCTCTGGTTGCCTTGAAGAAGATTTTGATGCATAACGCTAAGGAGGATGGGGTGAGTCTCTTTCCTCCTCTCTTTCCCCCTCTCTTTCCTTTCAATATTTCGTTCCTCAGCTGTTATCACGCCTGCCCGCTCGCTCATTCGCGATGTGGTTCTTTATGCGGGGGTTTTTTTTTTCTTCCTCGCGGGGGGGCCTACGGTTGCTAATATGGTGTTTTCATTCTTCACGAAAAAAAGTTCCCGATTACCTCCCTGCGCGAGATCAAGATTCTCAAGGCGCTTTCGCACAAGAATATTATACCATTAATGGAAATGGCGGTCGAACGTAAGAGTACGAGATTCACCCATTCACTCATGCGAAAACTTTTTTCTCCTCCGCTAATCGCTACCAATTGCAATGGCTGACGCATCGATTCTTTTCTCTTTTGCGCTGTTATTTTTGCAGAGGAGCGCGGACCGGCTACCAGAGGGACTCTTTACATGGTCTTTCCTTATATGCATCATGACTTGGCTGGCTTGCTGGAGAATCCGGATGTCACGTTTAGTGAGCCGCAGATTAAGTGCTATATGATTCAATTGTTGGAGGGGACAAAATACCTTCACCAGGTATTTGTTTTGAACCTTTCGGAAATCCGAAGATGTGCGCCGGGGAATCTGGGCTGACTCTTGGGGATGGCTAGAATAACATTTTACATCGCGATATGAAAGGTTAGTTTGAAATGGACCCGATCTTGTTTTTCTCGGCTGTTCCCCCCGCGGGCGCAAGTTCTAACCCGGTTTTCGAACAGCGGCAAACTTGCTTATCGACAACAGAGGGATATTGCAAATTGCCGATTTCGGTTTAGCAAGGAAATTTGAAGAGCCAGTTCCTGTGCCTGGCGGTGGCGGCGGCGTCGCTGAGAGAGACTACACTAACTGCGTTGTTACTCGTTGGTATCGGCCGCCTGAGTTACTCCTGGGCGAGCGAAAGTACACTTCAGCGATCGATTTGTGGGGAGTTGGGTATGATCTTTGTTTTCCTCCTAGTTTGCTTATTCCGGAATGTCTAACCGTCGGCCCCATAGATGCGTTTTTGCGGAAATGTATAGAGGCAGACCGATACTCCAGGGGAATACCGATATGGACCAGGTGGTCAAGATCTTCCAACTTTGCGGGTCGCCTACCCAGAAGAATATGCCCGGGTTTGATAGGTTGCCCGGTTGTGAGGGGGTGAAGTCGTTTGGCCCATTTCAACGAACATTGGAGGGGCATTATAGCTCGTAAGACCTCCCCAGGCCAGCGTTATTAGTGACTAGGGCTAATTTCTTATCAGAATGGGTAGCGCGGGTGTATCGTTGTTGTCGCAACTGCTGAAGCTCGATCCTCAGAGACGGATTAATGCCATGGATGCTCTTAAACATGAGTACTTTACCACGGATCCCCTTCCAGCGAAGCCAAGCGATTTGCCATCTTTTGAAGATAGTCACGAACTTGATAGGAAAAAGTTTCGCCATCAGAAAGCGCATCTCCCACCTGCACCCGCAGGTGGTACCGTTGGCATTGGTCAGGATGGGGCCGGGGGGTGGAATGGAAGGGCCGGTGAGGTACCATGGGCAAACGGTACCGGGGCGGGGCCTAGTCGGGGGGGTCGCCCAAACAACGAGCCATGGGTAAACGGTGGAAGTCAGCGTTACGGGCGCCAGCACGATAACCGGATGCCACCCCATGATAGCCGGGTCCTGCCAGGGCATCGGCCAGCTCCAGATCATCGACAATGGAGTCGTCCTGGGGGGTTGGATCATCGCGAGTTAGGATTACCGCCTCGACCGCCCCAGGCCGGACACATGGATAGGGAGCCCAGAGGTCCCCCTCTCAGGACCAATCGGGGTAACGGAGGCGGCAATGTTGATACCTATATACCATCTTACGGAGGTGGGGGGCCAGATGACCGTCGCGGTAATAATAGGAGTAGGGACTGGGATCGGAGCGACCGGGATAGAGGTGATAGGGACCGTGGTGACAGAGGCGATAGAGGTGATCGCAGGGATAGAGGACATGATCGGGGTTACAATGGAGGCGGGGGTGGAGGCCCAGGTGGTGGAGGTGGAGGTGGCATCCAACGACGAAGTTCCAGTCGGGACCGTCACCGGGAGGAACCTGTCAACAATATCTATCGCCGATAACACTTCATATTGTTCCTCAATCTTTGCTTCCTCTTCTCCACGCTCTTTTTGTCACCCTTTTTTTTTTTTTTTTTTTTTTTTTTCTCTTTTCTCCTCTTCTTAGTCGCTATTGCGTGCTCGCCCTAGGCAGGAGAGTTGGTAATCACTTGATACGGAAAACGCGGGGAATAAGGTGGCTTGGAGAGTCTAGAACGCACCGTAATCTTGGGATCGGTTTTTTTTTTTTCCTCTTTTTCCTCTTTTTCCTTCCTTGAGATCAATTACCATTTCTCCAAATATTTTTTCCTTCTTATTCTCTAACACTTTTTTTTTCCTGTATCCCCTGCAATTTCTTTCCCTTTCCCCCACAATTGTCTATGAGTTGGATCGAGTTGAGTGGGCGTTATATTCCCATTACCCGGAACCTTGGATGCGTAAATAAGATGTGGGGGTCTATAGTTGGTCTGGCTGGCTAGCATTACCTGAGATGGGATGAGATGGGATGCTTGGAGGCATTACTACTATTGTATTAACTCGAGTTATCCACTATCTCCGCTAGGTCTCTGATCTCTGTCAATCCTGGAATCAGCCCAAGTTTGGTCTAGTTTGAAAGGTTAATAGAATTGCGAATATCAGTAATAGGATCCAACCGTCAGTAAACTGAGTCATTACTGTGTGAGGAAATACTAATCCTTCTTAAGGGTTTTTTGTTTCAGAACACTGAGATTAGGGAGCTTGGCGGAGATAGTTGATAACTCGAGTTAATACGATAGTGCTACCGAATTAGTAGCCTATTTGTTTGCTTGTTTGCTTGTTTGGCTCGCTTAGCTTATGGGGCCGACAGATCAGGTTGCACAATGATATGTTATTCGAGGACGAACAGCACTCTCCGATACCAGAGACATTTTGTAACATGTTAAGCAGAGTGGAAGGGGGGTCATTACTTTTGCCCTGTTGCGCAAAAAATGAAAAAGAAATCAAGTCACATTGTAGCGGAGTTTTTTTATTATTTCTCTTCTCTCCACAATTCCCCCAGTTTGTTCTGTTTCGTGATGTATGCTACTGATAGAGCCTCATTCACTTCATTTCTCCTTTCGGCCGGATAGTCTACTGTATCCCTTCGCTCATTGTGAGGCCTTCAATCCAACCCAACACCCTAAATCTCACCGGCAAAGCCTTGAGCACTGTACTCGTATCGTACACTCACTAGGGGATTCACACTTGTACAGCTGGCAAGCAGTCACGGGAGATGGCGTGATGCCCCACGAAGCCCTTTTTTCTGTCTGTCATTTTTTTCTTTTTATCTTCATCCAGCCTTACAATGCGACATCCGCTATTGCCAGTTCAGGAAATGGGTCTACTACCTAGTAGGCCGAGGCCGCCTTATCCATTATGGGCAGGGATAGGGATACCGACAAAGGATAGCACCGGCACTCCCGTTGGTTCACTAGGACGAAGGGAAACGGCGCTGACATTGCCGGATTGGATTGGATTCTGATTGGAAGTCGAGCGAGATAGGGATCTATGATGGGGCTGAGAAGGAAAAGTCACTGGAGAGTTTCTTCCTTCCTCTCTTCCTGTGATATGTGCGTGCGTGCCGGGTTGACCTGACATCACTGCCCGAACTGGGGATGTTTAAAGAGGGTTCGACCCCGTCTCTTTTCCTTTTCTTTCTGTCCTCATTCATTCCTTTTTTGTTTTGGCCTATGACAGGAAGTCATTACCTACTACCATACCAACATAAAGGCACAATACCCTATTTGTACATTCCGGCTTTCGAGCTCGTTTGCCAGTACCATACCTCGCTGGTTCGTTCGTTCGTTCGTTTGGAGTAATTCCGTACGTGCCAGGAGCCAAAGACAGGGCACCTACTTACGGGCTGGCCGCGGCTTGGGGAGAGCAAGCCGTACAAGTGCGGTAGAGTTGATATATACACAGCAGCCCCCTCACCCAGCCAGCAATTCTTCATAGACACTCAAGTGCAGTTAGACACAACCACGACAATAGGGGAAATGACGATAGAACAACCGCCGTCACCGCCCTCGTCGCCCTTGTCCGCCAGGACTAATCCAATGCTTCTACAAACTAACAATCCAAAGCTCCCATGGCTTGTGCAGAAGTTTGGTGGAACGAGCGTGGGGAAGTTGCCGTTGGGGGTTGTGGAGGTCGTTAAGTATGTTCTGCGTGCTTACTCAGTCCCAACTCGCTAAGGAACAAGAGGGCTAATTAGAAGTAGAAAGTATCTGCCAACAAACCGCGTAGCAATAGTTTGTTCGGCAAGGAGTACCGAGTGCAAAGAGCTCGGCACGACCAATCGGTGGGTCACACCACCACCCACTTGTCCGGCCATTAATTGAAATTCATCAAAGCAAGCTAATATAAACCAGGCTATTGCGGGCAGCGGAAGAAGCTATAAACCCGGAGTCGACCAAGTGGGTGGCTATTATCGACGGCATCCAGGAAGCGCACATCGCAGCGGCCAGGGATCTTGTTAGGTCCCGAGCGATATTTGATGAACTTAGGGCGGGGGTGGAGAGGGAGTGTGAGGGTTTGAGAGGTTTTTTGGGGGCTGCGCAGGTATCCTTACTTATTACCCATTTGTTTCCCTATGCAATTGATAGGGGATTGGAGGGTTGACGAAGGCGAGGATAGGTCATCAATGAAATTAGCCCGAAGTCGAAAGACGTTATCGTCGGTACTGGTGAAAAGCTAAGTTGCATGTTCATGACGGCGGTACTGCGGGATCGGGCATGTCCATCCCTTCCTATGATACCTTCCTTCCTCCCACCCGAAACCAATAATACCAAACCTTAACTTTACTAACAAACATACATGCAGGGCATCGATGCAGAATATATCTCGCTGGAAAACATCCTCCCAGCCTACCACCTCCCCACATACACTGCCAGCAGCAGAGCCCTGACCCCACCCTTCTATGAAACCCTAACCACCGCCTTGGAATTCCACATCCGCTCCCTCCCCGCTCATAAAGTCCCCGTAATAACAGGCTTCTTCTCACCCGTCCCCGGAAGTCTCCTGACCACTATCGGACGGGGGTATACCGATCTCTGTGCAGCCCTCCTCAGTGTTTCAGTGAAAGCGCAGGAATTGCAGATATGGAAAGAAGTAGACGGCATCTTCACCGCAGACCCACGGAAGGTCCCGGCGGCGAGATTAGTCCCCTTCGTCACGCCGGAGGAAGCAGCGGAATTGACGTACTACGGGAGCGAAGTCCTTCACCCACTAACCATGGAACAGGTAGTCGCCGTCGGGATCCCCGTACGCATACTAAACGTCTGGAAACCAAGCGGTTTGGGGACCATCATCTGCGCCAAAAAGCCCATCAAGACCTGTCCCCTGGCACTAACACCCCCCGTCTCGGACGGCGAGGACGATGACGACGAATACCTCGAAGGAGAAGAGAAGGAGGGAAAGAAACTCCCAACAGCGGTAACAATGAAGAAAAACATCCACCTCCTCACAATCCACTCCAACCGCAAATCCCTCTCCCACGGCTTCCTCGCCAGTGTCTTCCAAATCCTCGACCAGCACGAACTCGCCATCGACCTCATCAGCACTTCGGAAGTGCACGTATCACTAGCCCTGCTCAGCACATCCCCACACACCATCGCTGCTGCGGTGGAAGCGCTGGAGACCTACGGTATCGTCGAGGCGCGCGGTGGACTGTGCATTGTATCACTGGTTGGTCGCCACATGAAGCACATGGTCGGCGTCGCCGGACGGATGTTTTCTGCGCTGGCCGAGGCCGGGATTAACGTTGAGATGATCTCCCAGGGCGCCAGTGAGATTGGCATCTCGTGCGTGGTCAGGGAGGAGGCTGCCGTTGGGGCTGTGAATGTTTTGCATGCGAGGTTGTTTTGGTAGGCTTCCTCCCCCCCTCCCACGGGAGGGGATGGTGGGTTTTGTTTTAAATTTGGGATACCCGGGGTGATTATTTCCCTCATTCGTATTGTCGGATTGTTGCTTTTTCTCTCTCTTCTTTCTTCCTTTTTTGGGGTTGCCGATATTATTTTCTGGCCGGTTTAGCCTGCGTAAGTTTAGAGGTCAAAATGTTTGGGGCAAGAAAAAAAAAAGGTTTTTGAGTAATTTTATCCTGCCACGCTAAGATTATACAGCACCAATAATATAATACTATGATACATACTCGAGTGCCAATGCCTCAGAAAGCGCCCTCGAGCTGCCCCACGTCAAGCGTAGTGAGCTGCCAACCATAGGTAACCACAGAGGTTCCACTGTCACCCGGATAAGAGAGAAAAACAAAAGGCCCTTTTCAAAAACAAATCCCTCGGGGAAACTAAGCACGAGCCCTTGTGCCTCCCCCGAATGTCAATTACAGTACTATAACGACATTACACAACATGACATGATATGATGCGGATAAATCTCATAAATGTCGGCGATACAATCCCCTTTAAGAATTCCCGGGGCCGGCGCTCCGGGGCTTGATCGCCATACCGATCGCCTGGGTAAAGTGTTTCCGAGTGACTGACTGACTTGGGTTTGTCTAACATATGAATCATAAGATCTCGCTCGGTGGGTGTCCTCAGTTCGTATCTCATGGCATGTCTTGGGTCTGCCCCACTCTTTTTTTCTTTTCTTTTTCTCTTTTTCTGCTTTTCCCTTTTTTTCCTCCTTTGGAGAATCGACATTGCCGCGGCAGCGAGTGCAGGGACTCCGTCGCCCTAGCGTACAAGCGAAGACCAAGAGGAAACAAGACCTACAATCCCAAACCACCATAATCGAGGAATTTTATTTTATTTTTGATAGAATTGCTCAAGAACACTAATTATCTAATTAGTTCGCCCAGAAGAAGAATCCCAAGCCCCCCATCAGCCCTCCAGGCCCTACTTGAAGACCTTCCCATCAGCCCAGTCAAAGCTCTGCCCATGACGAAATTAGTTAGTGTCAGATTACTATTTCAAATTCTTTCTAAAAAAAAAGAGAAACCACATCATGTGAAAGATAGTACTAACCTTGCCATCAACGGTGACAGGGCGCTCCCAGCTCCAAGTGTCCTCAACGAACTTCTTGTCATCAGGGTTACTAGGGTCGAGCTTGGTGTACTCGTAGCTCTCCCAGTCAGGTGCCTAACGTAGAAATTAGCGTCAGGCTTGATCCATGAATTGGATGGCTGGTATCACTTACCACATCGAAAGCAGGAGGGCCCTCCTGTCCGCGGATCACAAAGGACCCAGAGATGGCAGAGTCCCCGGATACGCCGTACACGCTAGCAGATCCAAAGATGTACTTACGGGAGGCCTCCAGGCGGTTGAAGAAACCACTAAAAACAACCGCATCAGTGCTATGCTAAAATGGGCATCCGAGATCCGAGAGCAGAGCTAACCCAATCAAGTTGCTAGACATAAAGATCTGAGTCAACTCAGTGTTGTACTTATAGTTGACCCTCCAGAGAGAATACTCCTCCAGATTGGCATTCTCCCAGAACCAGGCAAGGGCCTCAGGGGTCTCAGAGTTAGAATACATCCTCTTCCAGTCGTCCAGAACAAAAGTAGACCTTCCCAAAGCCTCCAAGGGGTGCTTGGGCTTGGGCGCGGGCTTATCCTCCTCCTCCTCCTCCTCTTCAGCCTTGGGCTTAGGGGCAGTCTTAGGAACCTCTTTCTTTGGTTCCTGCTTCTTCGGCTCCTTCTTGGGAGGGGTGTACTTGACAGCCTCATCGATGAACTCAAGCTCGCCGGCGACAGAAGTGTAGATCGGCTGGTTGTGAACCAGCTCATACCAACGGGTGACATTGGGATACTCTTTGCGGAACTCCTTGTCAAAGACCTGTAACTTCGAATTAGATGTTGTTGAGCTGCCGGGGATCCAATTTGTGCCAAACTTACATATTGGAACCCGCGAGCAATAATCGAGGTAGCAAACAAATCAGCAAGGGTAAGCCTCTCGCCAACCAAGAAAGTCTGAGTAAGGAGATGCTTCTCGAGGGCACCAACGACCTTGAGGGTACCAGCCTGAGCAGTATCAACGTTCTTCTTATTATATTGGGCGCGCCCAGTCAAGGGACGGAACCAGCCTCCGAGATTTGGCAGAAGTTCACTATTGGCAAAAGACATCCACTTCAGAATTGACACATAGTCCTGCTTAGTCTTTCCCAACAGAGTGGTCTTCTCGTTCTGGGCGGTAACTATAACAACACTCGTAAGCACAGCCCACAACCATAGAGGGCACCTTATCATCGGTAATGCAAGGAACGTATTCCAGCACTTCTCGATAGATCCGAAGGACCCATCCCCAAAACGGTACATGAGCAAGACGCAGCACTCACGGTAAACGGCAATAGCAATGCACTCAGACAGAACGAATCCATCATCGCCCTGGAAAGTGGGAACCTTTCCGAGAGGGTTGAGCTTGAGGTACTCAGCACTCACACCCTTATCAGGCTCCTCGTGAACGATCTCGATTTCGAGTCCATTCTCCTTAGCAACAGCCAAAAGCGCCGTAGTGCGAGGGTTTTTCTACGATATACATATATATACATTCTTCGAATTAGCCAATGACTCAGCGCAAAAAATGCATCCAGCAAAAAAAAAAAAAAGAGAGATCTCAAGAACAAAGAACGCGGCAGAGAATGACGGCAACTCACAGGATAGGAATAGATTTTTCCGAAGGGCATTCTGTCTGGAATGATATGCAGTATGTGTGGGGAAAACAATGAGATGCAGTCAGTGGTTGTGTGGTTGACAAGTTTGCTTCAAGGAGAAACCTCAGCAAGAAAAAAAGGTGGGGGGGGGGATCGAAGAGGCAGAAGGGAGGGGTAGAAAGTGAAATGTTGGTGGTCCGCGTCTGACTAATCAGCAGTCAATGGTATGATATGATACCGGTAATGGAAGGGCTGATTATAATGGAGTTGTCAGCTGGGGAAGTCTTGGCATGGCACAGAGATAGAAATCCTAGTTGCCCTATTACTTCGATACGGTAGTCTAAACCTCCGAGGCACAGCTGCGTACTCTAGTCCAACCAGCCCCACGATATTATATCATACCATTCTCGATACTCGTATTATAAAATATTTATTATCACATCATACCATACGAGTAGAAAACGCTTACACATAGGTTCCAGAAGAAGAATCTTTTGAAACCATCCTACATACTAGTGCTGTAACAAAGCCTATCATAGCTAACCTAAAACCACATTCCGACAACGCACATCTAATGATAGAAATCCTGCATGGTATGATATATCTCAAAGGCCCCAACACCACTCACTGGTTACTTCTGGATTTTGCAAGATGAGCCTCACAAGCTAGCGCACTTTTCCGGACTGAAGTGAGAGAGGGTCGGTGGGCCGGTCTGGAACGGATGATATTATTATCATTACTGGTACCATTATCAAATCAAGAGTCTTGTCCATCGAACTACCGTAAAAACTTGAACAATTGGACGGTGCGTTATGTCGTTGGGCTTTCCTCCCAGTAAGTAAGGTCGAGCAAAAATATTCTTCTATCTCGGGAGGGGGAAGAAAGGGGCTGTGTTTTTGCTGTGTTTTTTTTCCCTCCTTTCCAGAGAAGGGAATTTTGGACTACATAGCACACCCTCCAATTATTCAAAGTTTTTATGATCCAGATGGAGGTGAGAGGGGAAAAAAAAAAAAAAGGTCGCGTCAGTCTGTCAGACTCCATACAGGAACCGAAGCAACGCATCGGCCCCGAAAAAGAACTCAGACATGACACCAACTCCAGTGAATACCGGGAGGAAGAGAACAGACGCACATCTACCCCTAGATTGGTGTTCTTTGACCTCACCCGCTCCGACCGTGAAGCTGGCCAGACCTGACAAATGGGGATCCATTCCGCCAAAAGGTGACTGACTCCATAATAGCGAAGCCGCTATCACCCCAGCGATGTATCGAGTGATCTTGAATGATGGGACGATGAGACGCGCTTGGTCCTCCCATCGTGCTCAAAAGGTCGCTCAAGAGAGCTGATTGGTGGCAATCCATCATATGCATATGGTGGGGGGACTCCTTGAACCACCTGCTTCGGGGCCTCAAGACCACCCAACTTTGAATCACGAAGACTCCTGAACACCTGCCAAATATAAAAGCTATATCATAGACCAGAAGCCGGGGGATAAGGCAATATAAGCGAATCTAATAAATATGAAGTTTTGATTGAGCGATTCGGGGGGGGTTTCTTTTCTTTTCTTTTTTTATTTTTATTTTTATTTTTTTTAAAAAAAGGCAGTTATCGGAAATGTTGCTCCCAACTGTTCATGGTTGATATACTACCGATTATCATGCCCAGATCATATGTTAACCGGCTATTAATTGGAGACCCAGCCGGGGAACCCAAATTAACCTACCACCCAGTAAGCCAAAATATGATATGTGTCTCCAGGGAGTCCTCCATCATATGGAACGCCTTGAAGGACGTCTAAAACCTTAAGGTACTCGAGTATTCGCACAGGGGCCACCCCATCCTCTGTTCTGACCCGGTAGTTTGCTGGTCGGCGTCCGGGTGCTACGTGCGGATGTCACGGGGTTCCATAAAAAAGCTGAATGGTCTTGAATTGGAAGAACAAATGATACTCGAGTGCCATAATAGGAAATGCTAAGGGCCTCCTTCGATTTGCTGAACCGATGTGTTCTCCTTGAGCCGTATTCGTTCCGAATATCATAAGGCAGTGGGCCCCTCCCCCCCGCCCGCCCCGAACATGGCCATACACAAATCACTGTAAAAAAAAAAACAATAAAATAAAAGATGGGAAAAAAGGAGATGGCAAGCTCATTCGCTTTCGTTCTCGCTACAAGATACCGCACAAAATGTGAAATCGGCCCTGAGTTGTCGCCGAAAGCTTTTGCGGTGCGTACCGGTAGGGTTCGAATCAAAGAAGGAGCGGATCCGAACACCGAAAAGTTCCGGTGAATGACGCACAATGTATCACTCGTTCGGTTAATCTGTCCCGCCGGAATTTCAGTCAGTCCAGAAAGTTTTGTTTTTTTGTCTGTGTAAAATGATATCCTGATGGTTTGCTTTGCTTTGCTTTTTTTTTTTTTTTTTTCCTTTTCTTTCATTGCTCCCTCTCATCTTCACCCGCGACCCGGCCGAGGGTTCAACCGCAACCAATGGAACTTTTCGTAAACTCCCCCTTAGCGAAACCTGAAAAGGTTACAAGCCACCGACGATATAAGACACCTCTACGGTACTCGCACGTACCGGTACTCGAGTATAGTATGTCTCATATTATCATTCCCTAGTATCTCGCGCTAGGCTATCATGCGCAGTACCGTATATTATCATGGTCTAGAGCAAGTGTCCGGAGAATACAAGTACAAGTAGTTCTCAGGTATTTAGGGTTGTCTCGGTTTCCCCGCCTAATATGACTTCTAAACCCGATGCGATACCACCCTAAAGCCATGCTCTAGACAGTTGGCTTTTATCATCAATATGCGAAAAGGGTACTTGGCGCTTTGTAATCTCGCGTCAATACCAGTAACTACCGTTGCCGGTACAAAGATTCACCGTCAAATCTGAAAGAGTACGATAGGGAGAGAGGGAGGGAAGGAAAGGGCTGGGTTTAAGGGAAATTTGAAACTCAATTTGGAACTTGAACTGATTTCCGTTCGCGCGGGTGTGGGGGTGCATGTGCGTGCGTGCGGGTGTGGGTGTGCAAATGTAGATACCGGTACCGTACTAAATGTATGAAGCCAGGCAAGTATGGAGGTACAGTACATGTACAGTACGGTATGTAGGAAGAAGATATTATGTATGGGGTGCGATCCATCCTTGTCCCTACTGTTTGAGAGATGTGGAAACCCCCCGTGACACAACTTAACTTATCTTACGCCCTACAAATCGGCGATTATCCATTGGTGAATGGATTCTTGAATTGCTTAATACCGGGCAGGACATTGAAATCGCAAGTGTTCAATTGCAGTAAACTCTGGAAAGAGAAGGTCAGAAAAAAAGTGGAGGGGAAAGGAGAAGGAAAAAAAATGTAGAGTGCGAGTGAGCCGAGGCCTACACCATAATTCCAATATCTACTCCCAGCCACGGGTATATTGGCATTTCTCTGCCATAACCCAACACCTGTAGATCCGGTAAAAAAGACGCCAACACCGGGAATCGGAGAGCACGAGTTGTTCTGCTGCTTTTGCGCTTCGTTGCCCTCAACAATGTTGGGGTACCCTATCGTTTACCTCGGGTACGGTACTGTGTCACACCCAATGCGCAAAAGCATGATAGGAAATGGTGAGCGGAGCCCCAGAACGATCAATTGATTGACAAGAGTTCTGAGCATAGCCTGCAGTTTCCCCTCATCCTCCACTACAAAAGTAGTTTCAGACATAGCGGAAGTAGAATGTGTGGGATCGAAACGAATCGACCGCCGTTGGAAACATGAGACGAGGTTTACAAACCAGGGTTGCACCATATCAAGTGCCGATGGGGCCGACGAAGACCGTTGGGAAAAATGGGAAAAATGGGAAAAATGGGAAAAATGGAAAAGGAAATGGGAAAAAGCAAAATATACTGGTAGTCAGCTCGCGAGAATTTGAGAGGGAAAGTCATGCGATGCTCCCTTCGGAGGACAAGGGTGAGAGCAGTGGCGGGAGAAGCGGCTTAACATCGGAACTCTGCCGGTGTCAATCCAATTTCCCTACCTACCGGTTCTCTCATGTAAGTATGATATGTCCTGCGCGCAGTAGGTGTACAGTGCTCGAGGGTGAATGGGTGGTACTGTATATTATGATATCAGTAGGAGTATACGGTAGTGTAGAGAGAGAGGGTGAGGGAGGATGCCTTCCATTGCTTCTCTGATGCTTCTAGCGTGAAATGTGGAAAACAACCGACTGGTGTGCCGTGCTTACATATGAGCGAAAAGAAGGCACCATGTTCTGGTTGGACTGGAGGAGTTTCATGACCCGCGGTCAAAAGTTCTAAATGACGGAAACTAGTGCCGGTAACGGTGACGAGAGGTATTAATCCGCAATTCCGTGTTGTTAAAGGGACTCCGCATGCTGGGAAGGCTTGCCAGGGTCCATGGTTCGGAAATTAAAGAACTCAAGAGATGCTTTCCAGAACACCAACTTCAGCTTGTGATCGGACGTCTTTGCGACAACGGCCTGTCGTAACTCGGTCTACCGGTCTAACGTAACACAGGGGAACGGATCTTCCCTATATGCTGGAGACCAAATTCAATTTAGGTACTTGTACGAGCACAGTATTGTATTGTACAAACGATAGTTTTAGAGCGAGTGCCGGGAGTCAAGAGACTGCAGTACGGTAAATGTATGATAGGATGAGATAGGATTGGATAGGGTAGGATAGGATAGGATGTGATCATGATATAGGTACCGTGGTCGGAGCGAGAGGTATGGGGCACAATAGAACAATAGAATTCAAGCTGGGTGAGGGGGAAAAATTCATGCGCACTCCTCCTGAATCTCGCCCTGTGTTGTTAACCAATTAAACAATTAATTGAAAAAGGCAAAAGCCTAAGGTATTGGTGTCGCACACGAGAGGGGGCATCATTCGGGTCCTGAAGCGAGAAGGGAGAACGTGAGCAGGCAGGATGTTACTTGTATTATGGCGCCGGCACCTTAGAATCTACCTTACCGCAGTGCCATCCAGAGTCAGTGCGCTAGTTCCCACATATTGTAATTTGGTATTGGTGACCTTACTCCTTTAGGCAATATATTGGGATATCACTTAGCCAAAACCCTTTTTTCCCGGCTCCACCCAAATTTTGCCTCAATTTTAAGAGCTATTAAAGAAAGAACAATAGCTCTAGAATGAAATCTACTTTACAAATGTCTTCTTTGCATGATCTAGGATCACTATACCGAAGGAATAAGTAAGATGATGGCATGCGATGCTGTTGTTGGGGAAGAATTTGGTTGTCTTGAGGGTTGATTCCAAAGGTGCCGGCACCATACAAGTACCGGTACTCGAGTACGGTACTGTACGAGTACTGTACTCAGCCCGGCTAGAAATCAACCCTTTTCCCCTTAGGCCAGGAAACTTCTCCCGCGTGGTACCGGTACTATAAATTAACAACCTTTCTTTCTAGAGGCCCGCGGAGGAGGTTATAATCTGATACGGTATGATATGATAATATCATACCAGCAAATTTGGTGCCACGCCCCAACAACGAGCTACCGTTATTCGAGCTTCGGAGTTGTTCAGAGTGAGCCGCCAGATTGAAGTACCAGTATCATACAGCAGCGGGAAAAGCGGACTGCGGGGAGTGGACCCCCCCATAGAGGACAGGTGCTGGTCTGGCCGGTGCTGCACTGATGCCTGTGTCGGTGGCTTGTCCATTTCTCCACCGAGTTTTAATTTTCTTCTCATCATCATCCCGATCCGTCCTTGGCGGAGCGCACAAATCAGACGATCCAGAGCGCAATCATTTGATTTACGACCAGCCTCTTAGGCGCGCCACACGTTTCAAGATCACTGTCGCAATTAAGGCTAAGGTCATCAAGGAAGCTCGCAGCGAGCGATGGCTTGCTCTCCATCAATTCACGGGCACCGCTACGGGAATTTTGTTTTGAGGGGGCCATGATATTCTTTTTTTCTTTTTCTTTCCTTTTTCTCACCATCCGTGAAAAAGTAAGAAGGAAGAAGGAAAGTAGCAAACGAGTAGGAAGAGAGAGAGAGGTCAGGTGAGTTTGGTATAGGAAGTTTTGTGACGATGGATTGGAGATTGGTTTGTAAGTCGTTTGTCGGTCGGAATACCGCTATTGGTATCCTCATTTTCTGAGGCGTGTGAGGAAAAAAGGGTACCGCTCGAATAGTGCTAGAGACGATACCGTAGTTTAGACTTCTTGGTATCATGCTGTAAAAATGGAATCAAAAGAGATTGGCGGGGCTTGCTCGGGGGGAGGGGTGGGATGAAATAGGATGGATTGGCTTGGGTTAGGATTGGCATGAGGCGGGCAGGGCGGAGGGCGGAGGGCGGAATTCTGCATGTTGTCTGGCGGACTTCGGAATTAAAGATCTCCCGGTGTGTTGCATGGTAAAGGAAAGAAGAATTTATTATGATACTACGGAGTCTGCGCTACGGTCGATGAGGCTCCATATGATACGGCTGAGGTCGAGTGAGAGGTGGTGTGTTATGTTACACCTGGCCTCTTTTCAGTCGGGACCAACACAGGGGATGTGGGAGCCCTGCATCCAACTCTTGACCTTTTCTGTATTGTGCCACGTTGTCTATGGAACGACCACCAGTACTAGTGCCGCAGTACCTTTTTTGCTTGTTGGAGTACACGGTACTAGTACAATATTATACCAGCATGATACAGTGCAGTGCAGCACCACAACCTCCATGCTATTTCCATCGGGCATCTCATCACACTTCTCTAACTTACCATAGACTGACCGACCAAGGTACCGATGGGAGTTGTTAGGCTATTCTCCAGCGAAGCTGATAGGGAACAACCGAATTGGTCGGGCACGCAGGCAGACAATATTCTCTGCTTGCGTCATGATCTGAAGGAAGGGCTAACCGGAAAAAAGGTGAATTATTATTATTATTTTATTTTATTTTTTGATCAGATTTTTGGCGGAAGAAAAATAAAATAAAATAGAGGAAATGGATTTTATGGGAGTGCGGAAGCTCACATGGAGCCCTGTACAAGAAGGATATTCCCCGTCTTCGCCATGTCTCGCCTTGGCCTGAACCTTTCCCTCGGGTGCATGATGTGAGACGGAGGAGGAGTCGAGGCGAGGCTTGAGAGCGGGAAGGTATACAGTATTCTACTCACAACCCACCCACACTCCGAGAATACCACTCCTCTCGTGTCCTGGAGAGTACAATGCACAAACTCACCTATTCATCCATCCATCCATCCATTCATTCACTCACTCACTCACTCACGCGTGCACGCGCACACTTAAACACTCGCCCACACACAGGCACACACGCACACGTACCTTATGGCACTGCACTCCCTCTCACCACGGACACACAAAAGTTCACATTTTAGATGCACGACACCTATAATACAATGTCAGGACACCAGTGGCAGTATGGGCAGTGTGCATCATAGCCATAAGCACTTCTTGACAGCAAAACGGGCATGAGAGGTTGTGTGTCCGTATCTGTTCAAATCTATATGGTTCCAAATTTTCCCTTGAGGGAGGGGAAAAAAGAAGAAAAAGGAAAAGATAAAAAAAGGAAGGAAGGAGAATAACAATATCGGTATCAAGAAAATAAAGAATTGCCGTATAGTGACCAGACATACATACATTAGACATCTGTCTACCGCCACCCAGTGGTGATGGTGGGGAAAATGATGGCACCAGCTTGTCTGTCTACCCTATCTATCCAGCTCTTGGATTAAGGTGATATGGTTTGGTTGGGTATTGGTTTGGCCATGTTTCTTTTTTCTGTGCCGGAGCTCTCCAGCGTCGTGGGATGGTCGACCCCCGACTCTCTGGGCCGTCGATCTTTTTTTGGTCCATTGGTACCATCGAATTACTTCACCCCCTCGTCCGGGGCTATGGCTCTGTTTGCTATCGGTATTTTGCTGTGCCTGCAGTTAATCGTTTTTTGGCTATTCATTGGAAAAATATTGGTGACAAGTTTTCCCGCACAGCTGTTGCTGTTCCTTTCCACCCTTCTTATGCTGTTCATTGCGGGAGCACTGATGATCCCGCCCATCTCATCGTCATTTACGCCATCTACCCATCTCATCGCAAGCTCGCAACTACCTCCGTCCCTTTTTGCTTGTTCCTGTGCTTTCTTTCCCTCTAACCAATCCCCCGAAGGTTTCCCCCCCCACCCCCCAGTCCGCCCCCCCGGCCTCCATCTCGCTCTTCTCCACCCACTCCCTGGTCCCCTTCCACTCACACTCTTCTGCGCACCCCCCCCCTCTCCCCCCACCACTGCCCCGATCCCTGAAAAACGCTTGACGATTTGAGGATGACTACCACAATTCTCATTTCGTCTTCTCTTTACTCGAGTATTTTTATCTGCCTGCACCCCGGCTTCTGTATATGTTGGCGTCTTTCCCTGGGCTGCTCCTGCAGAACAAAATCTGACTTCTAGTCCTAATCCTCTAGTCACTTGTGTGCTTGTGGCTCCGGCTTTGCCCTAGCCCACCCCCCATTACTTTCCTCTAAAGCTATCATATTCTCCATCCATCTCCGGCATAGGACTAAGCAAGAATTCTCCTAGCTCCATAAGCCTCCACTCCACTCCCTCATCTGCCCACTTTTTGTTTTTTTTCTCCGCCCCCCCTTGCGGCAAACAACCTGCTTCAGACGAAATACAAATTCGCTCAGTTGGCCAATCGGAAACCGAATGTGCCTGGGCATAAAGGCTTTGGACCCAACTCGACTCAGAGCAAAGCCCACCACCCTTCTCCTTTGTATGTAACCGGACATCCTTCCATATCCCTCCATTTCTCCAAGCGTAAGCCCGTTTGCCCTATCCGGATTCCAGAACCTACGACAGACGCGATAGAACTGGATAGGAAACAGCCTGGGCAGATCACAGGACAGCAAACGAAGAGAGACACGTCGGTCCTGTCAATATTGACAACGGATCTACCTAAGCCATCTCCGGGATTGTTCCTCATTCATCTCATTGCTTAGGGGGGGGGGTCGTCATTACAAGGGCCCCATTTCCCTATATCCATATAAACTCCCAGGCACTACCAGGTGATCCCTTTGTGGAGTGCTATAACTGCAACTGCATGAACACAGCCCGTTCTACCATCATACATCATCCTCATTAGAGAACGCCTCTTGAAGACCCCACAGCTGCTAGCACAACTGCTTCTACCTACTACTACCCACAGCATCGGAAAGTTTACCCTACGCTTGCTTGATACATGCAGATACTTGCATGAACCAGCCTCGAAATTGCGCAAAGAAACACCATCACCGTGACGTCGACTACTGCCATTCTTCTCCCCGCTGCCAGTGCGGCAACAACATTCCGTAACCTGTCTGCTGTGCAGGACACTGGGTCCTTCACTCTACGGGGAATGGAAGAGAGTGATAGAGACCGTCCACCGTCGACGCGCCACGGGGACGAACCATCATATGGAGGCCAGCCATTGCTGAATCCTATAAGCTACCAATCCGAATACCAGCAAGATTCTCAACACCGTCAGCAGAACTACCCACCATACAGCTCAAACTTGGTATATAACATCCCTCAGCAGACGCATAGCTCAAGCTATGCTCCGGTTCAGTCATATGCTCCACGACAGACTGCTGCCATTGAAGTGCTTTCGAGTCAGTTTGCGGGATCTTCTCAGTACTATGTTGCGGGGGAGTCCCCGACATCTGTCCCTGCAGGCGTCTCTCATCACCCGTCCTCATCACAGTTCTCCAGTCCGTCGTACGCCCAGTACAGCCCCACGGCCGCCCGCCTCCCGCATGCTTACGCCTCTGCCATACCAGAGTTAAATCAGCCCCCGGCCTCAGAGCCTGTTGAAGATCCTGAATTTGCGCAACAGAATCACACAGCAGCAGCGCTGGATGATGCTTATAGCCAATATCAGAGTGCCCTGAAACGCACGTTTCAAAACATGAGAGATGGTCGGTTGGGGGAAGCGGGAACCTCCCTCCTTACGATTTCGGATTGGCTATTATCTAATGCAGTGGAGTTGGGTATGTGAACCTTTTTTTTTTCTTCTCCTTTCCTCCTACCCGCTCATATATACCCCATCACTTCGTCCACCTGTGTTTTTCGATTGCTGTTCGATATGCAAAGAGATTTTTTAGTAATACAGGCTGAGAAACAGTGACAGGATTAGTGCGCGACGAGCAGGAGCTATACGGGGATCGGACAAGGTTGTGGAACGAGTTTAATACCTGCTGGCTGGTGGTACTACAAAAAGAGAAGGAGATGCTGCAAGAGTACATTGCTACGGGTCAGGCGCCCCAACCCCCACGAGAAATTCTGCGGGAGGAAATGTTAGAGAGGATGGGACGGGAGTTGATCGCATTATGCGATTCCATGGAAAGACATGGTTTGGTGGATTACCAGATGGGCGTATGGGAGGAGGAGATTCTAGGTGGTGAGTTGACGCCGAATTACTTTTTCCCAAATTTTTGCGAACATGAGAAAAAAAAAAAAAAACTAACATATGAACCATGGTAAAGCGATCCAAGAGTGCCTGGATCTGTTAGAGGGAAACGCGGAATCTGGGGCGCCACCGGAAGGATCTACCTCAGCTTCAGCCGCACCTCGAAATCCCGACCGCTCGGCTGGGAGCCAACACAATTCATGAACACGAACCACTCGTCTTTCCAAACCAATTTCGGTACCGCCGAAGGGAAAATGATGAAAGGAGCAACGCTAAAACCAAGGAAAAAAAAAAAAAAAAGAGAAAAAGAGAAAAAGAATAATAATCAAATCTACACACTACCACAGCATTCTTATTTGCTTTCCTTTGTTTTTATTTATTTTTATTTTTCCTTTCATTTGTAATATTTCCTTTTTTTTTCTTTAGTAGATGTTATGGTATGGGTATAAACTTGGTGTTGGGGTTGGTCGGTGCCTGTCGAGGAGTTACTGGGTTATAGATTATCTGAATATATGTATTTGTATCATTTAGGGGTGCGGTGATGGGAACAGAGTGAAGGGGGGAAGGGAAGTACGGTGAGAGGGGAGGTAACGTCGTTTTTTTCATTTTTCACTTTCTCACATCACATGAGCTCGCTATGAGGTAGAATAGAGACGCGACAATTGTTTTAGGATTAAAATTCCTGGGATTCGAAGTGAAGAAATGGGAAAGGCCCTTCATCCCATAATCACCAGTGATCACACGGAGGGTGCTACAATATGGTGCAGGTACCGTAGTGGTTGGTGATTAGAGTACGGTGGGGTATAGTAATGGTAGCTTGTGAGCTTTGAATATTTTAGTTCTTGTACGCCGTAAAGAGCTGAAAGGAGGAAAGGCAAGTGGCACGGACTCCAGACGTTCTTCTGATGGGTTGCGGAAATTGAGGCGGACGCAGGATACGACAATGAGGCGAACTGCTGGGTGCATGAGATCGATGTGTTGCCGCCTCATTTGTGGCGATCGGCATATTATAGCCACTTGGGACGATCAGGATGCTTGAGACAACCATTGAACCCGGATCAACAAGCCCCAAAACATATCTTTTCCGGGAACATAGACATCCACTACTATCCATGAGAACACAAACCAGGGGCAAAAAGGGTAAAAAGCGAATGAACGAATGAGCGAGCGCTATCGCTTTCGAGAAGAGCAAAAAGTGAAATATGCAGGAGAAGGAGAGAGGGAGAGGAAAATGAAAACCGCAAGACATTGCCACGGGAGCTCATTGGCAAAACCGGGATTCGCCTAGAAAACTAGAACTGATCCAGGGTCATCATGCTCATCGAGACGTCAGTGTGCTCGACCATTTTACAGAACTCCTCAAAGCTGATCTTGCCATCCAGATCCTCGTCCGCCTCCATCATAGTCTTGTCTACGATCTAAAAGCGAAGATTGTAAGACACACACATTAGCGGCAAGCCCCTTTTGGGATAGATTCCTTTGGTTTTTTGAGGCGGGGGGGGGGAGAGGGGGAAGTGCTGGGGCGAAAGTTCGGGACCGAAATCAGCTCGACAGGCTGGCAACGTACCTGCTGCAGCTGCTGGTCCTTAAGATTACTCCCGACCATCATCTTGAGAACGATGAAGAGTTCGCCATTGGAAATGAAACCATCTCGGTCGATGTCGTAGACCTTGAAGGCGAACCGGAGCTTCTCTTCTTTGTTCCCCTTGCTGGAGAAAGCGCTTAAGCCGGAAACGAACTCCTGGAAATCAACATCACCACCACCATCTTCGTCGAAAATAGCAATCATCCTGCATACAAACACATGCACACAGCTTTGTAAGCGGGGCCTTGTTCTGTCTCATCGACGGCGTAGTAAAAGGAGAAGCCGAAATATGTACCTGGTGGCTAGGGGGTTTGACGAGACCTGCGGTAGGCTCAGAAATTCCTCTCGCTCTATGGTGCCGGAGTTGTCCTAAGTGAACCCCTAGTAATAAGCTATTTGCTCCAATACGATAAACCGCCCGGGGTATGCCCCGGAACATACCTTATCCAGCTTCATGAACCTCTTGCGCAATCGATCCACTTCATCATGATCAACTGTGTAACTATGTTAGCGGTGAAACCTACGGGGCAAATGCTTGCTGTTTGCTTTTGAGTGGGGGAGGCGAGTACAATTGGAGCCGGAGACAATGTTGTCCATAATCTGAGAAGGATTCTGCCCCATGGTGATTTCCTAGTGGTGATATGAGGAGGATGAATTATTGAGGAAAGGAGATAGGAGGATTGCAAAGGTTGATGGTGGTTGGCAGTGATAGACCAGGGAAGGGGGGGAGTTTACTCACAGAGGCGGGGGTGGGGGCTGAAGGTGAGAAGGAATAGGATGAAGAGAGGTACCGACGGCGGGTAGGAGGTCACAAGTGGTTGTGACGGGGCGATAGTTCGCGTTTATTGGGCGTGTAAATCTACAGTGCAGAGGGTACTTCGTGTTTTGCCAGGCAATAGGAGAGGGGTGTGTTTTCCCGACTTTATCGCTGCTTCTATGAAGAACCTTTGTTCAGACGCGTGCCAAGATAGAGCCGCGGCTCGCCATAATACCCTGTTGGTACTAGCGCTGCGGAGAATCGCAACACTATGCAACACCAGCACCCCAAACGAGGCCGTCGCTGCTTAGTGGCAGATTCCGACCTCAACACCACAGAATAAGGGGGTCGCGACGAAGTCTTTTCAGCACTTGCGACCGCTAAAAATCATCAACTTTCGTCTTTTGAACCTCATTCCATCAGACCACACGCTCCGCTCTTTCTTACGGTCCCAGAAACTCACGGACGATTTTTTTCGCGTAGCTTTTTGCCACCATGACTCGGTCGGGAGCCGGTAATCGTTTTCGAACGCGAAAACTTTCGACGAAGCAGTCTCTGGCTATCCTCCGAGAGAATCAGATCGACTCCGTAGACGATGATGCTCAGAGGAATATACCTCAGATAGAAACAGGCGTTGAGCGTGGAGAAGAAATCGTGTGTTGTCCCCTCTTTCTCCGCTGCTATTTTTAGAACATATCGATGGTGCTGGGCGAAAAAAAGGACACATAAATTGTGTAGCAGCATATGACATGCAACATCAGCATTCACCCCCGACAGTTTGGTACTAGGATTATATTGTGATTGGTGTTTAAGCTATTTTACCTATTTCCCTACTGTGTTTGGAATTTTATTTATTTGCTCATTTTTGTTTTTCTTTCATTCATAATATCTCTCTTGGAGACGATGGTCACTGGTGATAGGTATATGCTAACTGTGCCGTTTCCCGACAGGAACATCATTTACAAGCTGCAATATCAGCCTCTCAAGCTGCAGCCGTTGGTGCAAAAGTCACACAAATCTTTATCCCAACCCCCAACACTACAGAGATAACAGTTACAAACTATGAGACTCTTTACCCGAAACGCTTTTCCCAACCCGCAAGCTACATTCGGTTCTCGTCAACCGTCGAGGATTGTAGTGGAACAGGATATTGTATGTCTGCTGAGGATGAAAAGTTTTTTGAGAAAATGAATGCCACAAAGCGTCCAGGAGGTCAACAATGTAAGGTTGAAGAATTCGAGCGTGTTATGGACCTTTTTGAGTCTATTGCGCTTGAGAAACAGCCTTACATGTCCATCGATATGTCTACTGTGATGCCCTATGATGAAATGGTTGCGCATTTCGGTGATGTACTTAGCGGCGAACTAGTGAAGATTGCGGCTGTGGTATACTCGCATTGGAAAGAGCAAAGGGTCGCTCGTGGTGGAAGCTCAATTATTCCGACCCTTAAGGTTAGTCCTACCTTTGCCACATGGCGCACTATGGTCTAACCTAGTCGCAACAGTTTGAACAGGGGCAAGACAAGGACGACGGGGACCCATATGTTTGTTTTCGCCGCCGTGAAGTACGACCAGCTCGCAAGACTCGCCGCACTGATGCACAATCGACGGAAAAACTCAAGAAGTTACGACAGGAGTTTGACTCAGCCCGTAATCTTGTAAGGGATGTGTTGAATAGAGAGTGTATGAGGAAAACCATTTTCCAGGTTGAATACGGGATATTTGAGAGTAGACGACAAATTATTGGTGTCAAAAGAAAGAATGGTATTCGGGGTGATGATGAAGATCTTATCAACCATAAGGTACGATCTCTATAACGCCCAGAGCTTTATGCTCGAATAATACTAACAAGTGTATAGCCAAAGAAGAGACCAGTGGACCAGTCAGCACCATCCACTATCAGGGTTCCGATCCGTCACGACGGGAAACCACCGGAGGCAGAACTTCGACAACTTGTGGCAGTTAAGGCCGAGAAGGAAAAACAGAGGGCAGATAAATTCCAAGCGCTCAAGAGTTCACGGCGGGTTCCTAAGCACGGTTTCGTTGATTTAACAGATGTTTGTCTACACCTCACTTCACCGCAATAGGCCGGAGATGGTGGCTAATGTACTACAGAAAGCGTTTTCCGATTCAACAGTTGTCCCAAAAGGTCCAGATACGAACTTCTGCGGTGTACAGACCTACTATCTCCCAAGTCCGCCTCCCTCATGTGAGGGCAATGGAACTGGCTTGTTCGACCTCCTAGAAGAACGCTCGGGTTTGACCCCAATACCAGTACTGCAAGTTTCTTCAAAGTCTCCACCATCTCGGGATGTACCAGCCTTCAGACGAAGGCGGGGACGCGGGGGCAGGATAATCGTTGATCGTCGAGGGCATAGCTTTCCCCGTGACAACGATCTAGATGATATAATACTTGACCGCATGAAGCACAGCGAGGAAGATGAAGACTACAGCCCAGTATTCGTGAGGAGCTCGAACAGTGATTCGTATGTTTACCAAATTGTAACCATTCTCTATTCGTCGAGGCAATTCTAATTCATCGAACAGACACATTCAATACCGAGCCCGCATGCTCTCCCCCCCCCCCGACCCCCCGGTTAATCCTGCCCAGCACATGCGTCGACAAATTATGCCCTCGCCAGGGGGAATGCAATCCGGTACGCCAGCAACATTCCTAGCTGCCGCCACTGCTCAACAAGTAATGGGTTTCACGGGCTATAAGCTCGGTCAGAATCCAGGGCAACAGCAACCTCAGCAATCACAGCAGCAACAGCCCAGTGCTTCCATACTACCGCTGGCTAATCGAGCACCAGTTCACACTCAAGTGCGGCGATAACAGTTCGATCATTAAATTTCCAACTCTGTATCATTACCGCTGCGTTCTTTCTTTTGCTTCCATTTCTCCTCTGTTGTGTTTTTTTTGTCTGCGCGTCATTGTTTGGGTGTTGGTCTTTCCTCTCTTCATATATCCTTTCCCTTCATCCACCTGTTTTCTTGCTTGCTTCTACTCACTCATCTAGTGACATAAGCCTGTTTCCTTGAGGTTGTTGGTTATATATCATTTCACCTCCTCACTCACTCGGATTTGTGTCTTTTCCCTTTCCTCATTCCCGGACAAGCAGTTCCTTTCTCGATAAAAAAACCCCCCAGATCAAATCACGTGTCACATTCAGATTCAGGTAGCGGGCGTAGTGTGTGTGCTTTCTTCTTCTTTTTCTTTTTTGCTGAGTTATCTCATTTAGTTCTCTCTTTTCTTTCTACTTTCTAGTACTGGATGTAAGAGTAGTCTGATCAGATTGATCAATTAGTAGCTGGTTGGTTGCTTGTTTGCTTGGGCTGGAGTGGAGATTTGGGTTTTTTTTTTGCAATTTTTCTGTTCGTTTGGGCCGCCGGCTGTATCATAGTTGGGTAGAGTAGGATAGCATACTTGCCGTTGCTAGTGGCTTAACTTAGAGTTGACCAATGACTACGGGGGAAAAAGGAGTCGTTAGCTATCTTAATATATTTGTTCAAAGAAGTCGTGGGGGGGGGGGTCGCGGCTTAGGCACATTTTCTTTTTCGAGACAAGTGTCAAATGTTATCGTGCGTGTTCGGAAGGTGTGGTGAGAAGAGGTAGGAATTGGGGGTGGGGATTGCTTGGGTGGTTTTGTATAGTTTGATTCCTTTTTTATTTTTATTTTTAGGGCCAGTTTGGATACAATAGTTCCCGTTCCGTTGCCCCATACAAAGTGACCATTTCAAAACGGAGTGAGTTATTCCGCTTTGTTGCTATTATGGTATGGTATAATTTCTGTGGCACAAGTATCATGCCTTGTTGGCAGCATGTTTCGTGAAGTTGCATATTGTTTTCCGTTGGGTTCACGCCATGCCAATACAGAATGTAAATTCCCGTGGCTCCATCACTAGTTCTGATTCGTGCTTGGGACATTACGGTTATAGAGCAAAAATGAAACTACGAACGAGGGGACAGTAAGAACGAATAGGGATAATATTGCCAGGGAAAGAATACAAATTAATGGAAGATACTACAAGGGCTTCTTCTCCTGCTCCTGCATTGTGTCTGAGGAACCCTCTAACGACATTTGTACAATGCGATGGAACGTTAATCTCTTTCATCGGGATATCAGGGTTGACTAGCGCTATACGTGAGGTTCGCAATAACTATGCCCCGGGATTGTAAAGTTAGTTGGCAATTGACACTTGCAAGAGCTCACTCCCTGAGTTCACATGGCAAGCATATTTCAACAAGACTTCCGAGTCCATCATGGCAGATCATTCCCAGGACAAATCCTGCCTTTGTATCTAGAAGTGTTGATATCATATATCGTGCTTCTCCTTGAGGCTAGTCTCAGGGCTACCAATCACCAGCCACCACTCAATCAAAAACTCTTTCCCACCCTCCCAAAACACATCCTTATTCCAATTGGAAGCATGGTCGTTAGCCACAACCTCTACTCGTACACCACGAGACGCAAACACTCCCGGCGCAACCTCCGTCTAGCCCTCCGACACTAACCTCGTGGGCGCACCCTTCAAGGGCAAGAATAGCCTCAAGCTCTCCTTTTTATTAAATTTTTATTTTTATAATTGGTATTTTGTTAATTTTACGTACACACTATCACCAGCCACTTGAGTGTGGCAATACTTGTTAGGATAACTTCGTTTTTTAATTAGGAGTTCTTCCATCGATTCTTACTACGATTTTGCTCGCGGAATCCTGGGATTCAATCATTTCACTGTGGAAACTTGAGTGATTGAGCCATGTGATAAAATTATGAAGTCTGAATTCCCTTCTCCGGAAAGGGGGGAGTTTACCCCCAAAAAAACCCCCCTCCTTCCCCCGCCCAATAGAGATGGACACGAACATCCTCGGACAGATTATGGGCGTTCTACTCTACCATGATCCGATCAAGAGGACCGCATGATTGATTGATTGATGAAATTGGTGGACCCTGATCACCTGATTGATCGTGGCCACTGCTCGAAGGTGGCAAGTACAGTCAATTATTGAGGTGATCGAGCATGACTTGATCATGTCCATCACTGCCTTCCAAGATAGAAAAATAAATAAATAGAATATTCCTTGACATTGCTAAAAAAGGAAAACCCAATGGCCTACGGTAGCACATAGTTCAATTATCTAAGTTTCTGCAGTATGTTAAAACCGTCTTTTTCCTAAGAAAACATGGGTTTCCGTGCATTTATCTCGACGCTCTGTGGTGTTCCCTGTGTATGGGGTTGTATCCTTGTGCAGTTTCGGAGCCATGTCAATGATTGTGGGGACGTATCCTAGTTCCCGAATATGCTAAGTGGGTGAGAGTATTTGCTGCGGTAATTCGGCTTTGTCTTCACTGTTGTGACAAACCGCCGGTATCATGTTCTTAGGCGACTTCTGAGATGTAGTATCTTTATATTTTGGCTTCAGAGGTCTCGGGCCTTCTGGACTTCATGAAAGCTTCACTAGTGCTAGTTGGAATTTTTGAGGTGACCATCCCCGCGTGAGTGTTCCGAATATTAATGGCCGGTTTGTGATCTGAGCAGATAAGCTCGGGAGCCTTTGAGGATCCTCCGGTCTGCAATGGCTGTGATCCCTGGCGCATTCCTTCTGAGGGTGTTGGCAGAGCGGTTCCTGTGGTCCTTATAAGCGATCAAAGTGGGCACACGGTCCTCAAGTGAGGCGGTGTCTAGATCCTGTCGGGTTTTTACCCCGGCGAAGCCTTAGAATCCTCTACTCGTATCAACGCTTGCTTGCAGGCCAGCAGCGATGGGACCATGGTGGTGGGTGACGATCAATATACCGCTAGGTTGCTCGGCAGGCTTCTCAACTTAAATCTCCTCTTCGGCTCACTACCTATTGGAGAGCACCTCGAGCCTCCTTGGGAAACCAATAGACTATGGCATGTCTGTATCTGAATTATTGTCATCCTCTTCGTGTTTCTTCGCAGGGAGAAACCCAGCGTGATCCTTGGATAGGGCCTAACCCGAAAGAAGGCTTAATCCCCGAAACTGGCTTTGGAGGTGCATCGATTGGTAGTGATATGATAACACCTTAGATGACCAGCCGTTCTTGGCTTAACCTTTGAGAAAAAACCCCGAACTATCATACTTCGAGAGCTCTGTGGTATAGTGTCTAGCTTCCATAGAGCACTGCATATTTAGGCATTGTTGGTGCTCTTGTACGCCCTCGAGATTGATACGCAAAGGATATTAGTAACACGGTAGGGGCTTGATTAGGACCGGTGAAACTGAATGGGGCAGCCTTTTCCCCCCGCAGCGTGCTTCCTGGCCATTTTGGTTTTTTTTGGCGCCCCGCTACATTACTGTGTATGCCAGTTGCAACTGATTGTTGGCTCCATGGTGGATAGATTGGTGGTGAGGCAATTTGGTATACGGTAGCTGGCGGGTGCGAGTGCTGGTTGGAATAATACCGTACAGCACTGTTTATGGGGCCCTTGAGAGCGCGGGAGGGGGGGTTATGGAATCTAACCTCGGGGGCTCGAAAGATTATACACAAAGATCGTCTGGTAGCCGCTTTATCTGTCCGCTTTTCTATTCGCTTTAGACTGCACGTTGCTGTACAGTACAACACAGAATCCATAAATTTTTGGGGCATGTGCTGTATCGGTGCTTACATTTGGTTGAGCCCCACAATAACAGGTTACAGGCAGATACCGTGCCCATACAATAATTGAATCTGTGGCAGATAGCTAATTGTGCACATACAAGTATTACATGCATGCAGAAAATTCTGGAGTAAATGATAAAGAAAGGATAAGCAATAATAAAGTGCTCGTACTACCCAACACGGCGCGATAAGGGCATGCTTTTCCGCTCTTTTTGGGAATTGCGTTTTCTCTTCTTCTCCAAGACTTTTTCTAGTTGCTTCTCGTTGAGCTTGGAATATTTTTCCGCCAGGAGTAGTTTCTTTTGCTCAGCTGGGAGTGATGTCAGTCTTCAGATACTAGTAGTCCCCTAGCCCGAGATAAATAAATACCTTTCTTCAAATAAAATGGCTTCTTCCCCTGCTTTATTAACTCTCGTTCCCTTTTCCTGTGCTCCCTGACAACCTTTTCGCCTTGCTCCTTATTTTTTTCGGTCTTGCGTCTTGATTCCTACAGCTGACATATCAGCAACTTTCTTCACACTCGCCAAATGATTTCAGTAACTGTGCCAATACCATTGAGAGAAGTTCTTTCTTTAGTTGCTCTCTTTTCTGCTCATCCTTAGACTTGAAAATCTCTTGTTTTAAGGCCTTCATCTCGTCCTCCCGATAGTCATCGAGAAAAGAATAATTTTTTCTGAAAACCTTTTCATCGTAGACCCCCTTAACTGCGGTGTCGAACCTAGGATCTCTGGCAGCTTGCGCAGCGGGGATTATCGGAGCAACCGCTTCTCGTCGGCGAGTAACAGCCCTTTTGGAGGAGATTTCTTGGGGCGCGTGCTTGGAGGAACGTTTTAACTCTTCCCGTGTCTTTTGAAGTTTGAGGGGCTTTATCCCTTGTGACTCTTTAAGAGCAGCTAATTGAGCTTTTGTATCGGTGACCCAATCTCTTTTAGAGAGTGATTGTGACCTTTGCCGCTCTCTTACGATGGATTTTTGGGCTTTTGCTAGTGTGCCGAACGAAATGTGGGATATAGCAACTTGCGCATTGGGCTAAACGAATTAGCGAATGAAAACTGGAATCTAGGATGCAAGAATGTACCCGCTCCTCTTCATCACTTTCCTCCCCCTCCATATCCATATCATCATCGCCATCTTCTGGTTCATTGCCGCCCCAGGTCGTGCCGTCATCATTGCTGCCAGAAATTTCTGCCTTATTGCCCCCCCGAGACCCAACAGAATCGTTCATAACATTCTCCTGGCCACAGTGGCCGCTGCCATCGTCGTCAACAAATGGTTTGATCCTTCGAAAACTCATGGTTGTTATGCAGTGAAAACGGTGTTTTGAGATTGCACTAACTAGATGCTAGCTTCCGAAATCCCACCACCTTCGATTTCATCAACCCTAACCCAGATGCGGTACCACACATGGTCACCCTTGACCCAGTTTTTGCCTGTGGTTTTCTCTACGACAGGAGCTTCCGATAGAAATCCCATCTACTTTCCGGTCGGCTTCTTTCATGCACGCACTCCAACCACTCCTGAGCCCGCTAACTCTGAATCGTGCATTTGGTGCTGGGCTGATTTTGGTACTTCCTTCCCGCTCCTTTGACTATTCGAATTACAAGTGCCTAACCTAAGTGTCACTTGACCGCAGAGGGAAGAATTAGTTGCGCTCCAGTGTAGGAACCCACAAACAAGATCTATAGGCGCTATGTCGGAAAGGCGGGAGATCCCCGGTTTGGATTCGGGGGAAACTAGCACCTCTAGTAGAGGAAACGGGCCCTTTTCTACTGGGCCGGATGAACGCGCTGGTACATCCCGCGGAGAGACTATGGATTTTGCATTCCGGACAAACTACAGAAGCCCTTTGACTCCCACTGGCCAAGAGATCCGTGGACTGCAGAAGAGCACGACTAGCTCCTTTGCCCATCTGGCCCAGGGGATAGGGTCGCCGGGGGTGTTGGGGAGTGAGCCTAGGAAGGATAAAAGGAAGAGGGAAAAGAAGGGGAAAGGGAAAGGCTCTCGTTCTAGCGATCAGAGAGTTCAGCTTGCCGGGGGGGGGAGCCCGGGATTCACTGGAAGTGCAACCGCACCACGTGTTGAAAATTCCAGAGTTCAACTTTCCACGATTCCACTCTTCAGTAGTTCAGCCGCGCCTGGGGAACTCCGCCAGGAGAGTTATGATAACTACTGGTATGGCAATATACCTGTGTCAAACCTAGCTAGTAGAGCTCCGACTTGGGCTCGGGGTGATAACCACCGCTCGTGCTCTGGGGACCCGGAATATCCTCAAGAAGGGGGCAGTTTAGACTGGAGGCAGAGCGGTACTACATATTCAAGTGTGCCCTGGGGTTATCGCTCAGAGGGGAGCTCGAGCTGGGGTCATGGGATTCATCGGCTTCAATTACCTAGCCAACAGCAACCCTTCCCGGACCCTCAGCCGGCGTTTTTCAATCCTCCTTCTCCCTGGCAGCAACAACCTTGGCAGCAACAACAACCACGAGGGCACCGCAGTAATCGGAGCCAACGTTCCAGATCGTCATGGGATCATCGGCCGCCTCATGGCCGTGGTTCGAGGCTTCCTGGTAATAGTGCCCCGCTCCCGGCACCGGTTCCCACCCAAGATTATCTTGCCAAGAGTCTACTAGAGCCGCAAACTCTCCCAAGAGCACCAAAGCAACTATTGGTACTCGATTTGAATGGCACGCTCGTGCATAGGAGGAGGGGTAACACTGCCAGCCTGGTCTGCCGTCCTGAATTGGACAGCTTCCTGGACTATATTTTTACGCACTTTTCAGTGATGGTCTGGACATCAGCTCAGCCTGAGAATGCTCAGCGGATGGTCAACACAATATTCACCAAAGAGCAGGAGAAGAAACTCCTGACAGTCTGGGCGAGGGACACGCTCCAGTTGACGCCTAACCAATACCGCGAGAAGACGACGGTATACAAAAGGCTCACTCGGATCTGGGCTGGCGAGTTCAAGTTATGCTTTCCAAGCCCCGATCAGTCCGGCCCCGGATGGGACCAGACAAATACTATCTTGATTGATGATAGTAGTGTGAAGGCGGCGGGCCAGCCTTACAACCTTATACGGGTTCCAGAGTTTGTAGGAGACACGGATGAAGAGGAAAGCCCAGTTCTATCTGATTGCATAAAATACCTCAATGAATTGAGGTTTCAGGATAACGTGTCGGCCTGTATTCGGCAGTCACCATTCTACGGCAGGTACTAAGTGTTGCGGCAGAGGATGGCCTATTCTGATTTGATGGCGCTCTTTACCTTGGGAAATTAGGATGCGTTGATAAATAGCTTTCCTTTTTGCCTATAGTGGGGCGGGCCGCTGTAGAGTTTGTTATGGGGCTTCTCTCCTTTCCTCGTGGGGTAGTTTGTTTGGGGTCTCGATATGGGTTACGCAGCCGCCGCCATGTTACAGTAGAAGTAGTATATGTCTATCTGTCACTTTCGGTATCATTTTCATGTATTAATCCCTCCACTTCACGAGCACTTCATCCGTTCTATAACATAGTGTAAACAGGCATACAGCCATCGAGGGGGAACAAAAGCCATACCTAAATCTCTGGGTGCATGTCGACTCCTCCAGCGGCGTAACAAACCCAGTCCCATACGCCAGCAGGCCAGCATGAGCAATCATAATCCCATTGTCAATACAAAACCTCTCATCCGTAGCATAAACACTCCCACCTCTATCCCTAGCCATCAACCCCATCATCTCCTGCAAGCGCTCATTACACCCAACCCCACCAACAATGAGAACCTGGTCACTACCGACATGCGCCATAGCCCTCTCGGTTATCTCAACGAGCATAGCAAATACCGTCTCTTGCAAGGAGAAACAAAGATCCTCGCGGGTGACAAGCTCACCCTCAGGCGTGAGTAGGGGCTTCGGGTTTCCGGAGAGGAGCTGCGCAGCCATCATATCGACGACTGCTAGTATTCCGGAGAAAGAACAGTCCATACCCTTGACCGCATATGGGAGCTCGACGAGGTTCTCGCCTTTTTTGGCCATTTGCTCGATGTTATAACCCGGCGCTGGGTCGTTGGAGATGTTGAGGGTTCGGGCGAAGCGGTCGAGGCAGTTCCCGACGGCTATGTCTAGGGCTTCACCGAATATTCGGTATCTGTGGTTGAGTTCGGAAGTCAGGTTATGAGGAAAATGCGGGGATGGAGGGGGGTTAAACCTCTGCTCAGCGTAGGCTATCACTTGGGTGTTCCCTCCGGAGACGTATAGTACGACGGGATTATTGGCCCCGGTTATTTCTCTGCCCATTTCTATGTCTGTTGACCTGAGTTATGTATCTTTATGTACGTGATATAGAGAGAGCATACGACCAACGCAGTGATTCACACCGACCAATGGCTTCCCCCACAGTAGACTTAAAGTTCTGGCAGCAATCGCAACGGACTGTAATGGTGCACCCATTCCGGGGCCTTTGGTATAGCAGATGCAGTCTATGTCTTTAACCTTTACTCCGCTCTCCTTCAGCGACCGCTTAACGAGAGTGACGACCCATGATCGGTGATGCTTCGCTGTGTCTTTTGGAAGGAAACCTTCGCCGGGAGGTGAAACAAATGTATGGCGTATATTTGAGAGTATCTCCGCAGGCTTTCCAGGAGTATGCCGAATTAGGCCAACACCTAGCTTGTTTGCGGACCCTTCAAGTCCTAGAGCAATCATGATGGGTTGTTGTTGTTAGAGGGAGGGTACTCGAGTATGATAAGAAGTGTTGGTAAGGTGTGTGGCTGAGGCTCTTTCATATGATACCCGCTTGGAGGGGCATGGTGGGGCTAGAGCCAGTCCATATCATAGTTACCCTCCCTACAGCACCCCAATGAAGTCGACGAAAAAAAATTATTCACATCCCATCCCGGGCAACACATATCATACCACACAAAGAAAACCGAAAACTGAAACGAACAATTCCCAATTGGCAATAAACCTCCCAGCCCTATGATACGAACCGCTCTTCGGCGAGCGCAACTTTCGCCTCACTCTGCCATTTCACCTTTCGTTTGCATTTTTTGCCAGAGGAAAGGGCCTAATCTTGAGCGAAGACTAACGACTGAGGATGTTGGGCAATCGAATTCGGTCGAAGCCCTGCCAATAACAAAGGCTTCAGCCAGCTCTTCGAGGAAGCCTAGGAGTCTTGTGGATATCCTAGAAAAGGATATCCCCGAGCGCAAGGAGGGAGGGAGTCGGAAAAGAGGTGCAAAGAAAGAAAAAGCAGTGGAGAAAAAAGAAGCCAAGAAGGCGAAAGCGGGTAAGAAAAAGGGAGTTAGTCTCTCCAAAGCGGAGGCTGCAGTTTCTTTGTCCCCAAAGAAGAAGAAGGTTTTCCAGGTTTGTCTGCTCTTCCTTCTCTTCATGTGAGTTGAACGGTGTGTGGCTAATTTGCATAGCGTGCTCATGGCTCTATAACTCCAGGTCTCTCTATTTCAGAGGCCTTCCAGGGAGATGGGTCTAAGTACCAATTGTTGGATCCTAACTCTCGAGAGATTGAGCGTATGATTATATCCCCCTCTCTTCTCTTTTTCTCTCTCTCTCGTGGAGTTTTTGTTAACTTGAAAAAGCGATTGAGAGGGAGGGCCAACCGGAGGTTGCTAGGTTATCTCACGATCTTGATAGGGTGCTTTTCAAGTAAGATACCTCCCACAGGAGGCAAAAATTGTGCGTTTTGGGTCTAACCGTTGGGCAGTCCTGGTGTTCACTTCCTTCAAGAGCCCCGATCCCGTGTTTACAACTTCGACCCCTACCTCCAAGAGATCATGCCGGTTACGGAGTTCGATTTTGATGCCTTAGCAAGCTACATTATCTCCTCTGAGGATTGGAGACTATCCTCATTGGCTAAAGAACTGGGTAAAAAGTACGTCGGATCTACGTCTAGTATGACTGCGGTTTTGTCGCACTTCCACTTTCTTTTATCTCAGTGGCGGCCGTTAAATTTTCAGAATCTTTCGAAAACTTTTAAAGCAGAGTTTCAAACATTTACTCAGATCTCCCGAGCCCCGGCGGCGATATTTTTACGATATAAAGGGAATGGAACGTATGCTATCGATCCGGATAAGGAATATGATACAGACAGTGTACTGAGTCTTCTTGGTCGGTCAATGGAAAAGTTGCTCACTTCAGCGCCGTCTAATTTCGAGTCGAAATATAAGAAGGGTAACGCTAGGCCGGAAGAAGAGCCACTGACAAAACGGCCGGAGACATACCACTACTCTACTCTGGGAGATATTCTGATGCGCTCGCAGTTGGATGCCCATGACGCTAGGCTACCGGGGACTGGAATGTTTGACTTGAAGACGAGGGCGGTGGTCTCTGTTCGAATGGACGTTTCAAATTTCCATATTGGCTCCGGATACCAGATTAAGACACGGGTTGGCACCTGGGAATCATTTGAACGAGAGTACTATGATATGATGAGAGCGGCGTTCCTGAAGTACTCACTCCAAGTGAGGATGGGTCGTATGGACGGTATATTCGTCGCTTTTCACAACACAGAAAAGATTTTCGGATTTCAGTACGTCTCCCTGGACGAAATGGACGCAGCGTTACATGAGGATTGGGGAGCTGGAATTGGAGATCAAGAGTTCAGGCTTAGTCTACAGCTATTCAACAAAGTCCTTGATAATGCTGTTAAAAAGTACCCAGAACAAGTATGTTTTTCTTATTATAATCTACCCCCCTTTTTTTTCAGTTATGGCTAATGATTCGTAGTCACTACATTTGCACTTTGAAGCTAGAGATAAATTTAGGAATCCTATGATTGTTGTTGCAGAGCCAATGGATGAAGAAGAAGTTGAGAGGAGGCAAACTGGGAACAAGCGCGATTTGGCAGACTTCTTGGAAGCCTTGGACGGACAAATAAAGAGTGGGGGGGGACCCGTACCTTCTTTTAAAGGCCTTGAGGGGGCCACATCATCCGACGAGGAGGAAGACGTTCAAAACGATATCCAAGAGAAAGAAGAGGTTAACAACGAGGAGGAAGAAAGTGAATCAGAGGAAGATGGTGACGAGAGCGATGTTGGAGATGCCAAAGAGGCCGAACCCAACCAAGATGTCGAGGAGACTGCTGAGGGGAGCAAAGATGTCGCCGGAGCTCTCAAGGGCAAACTGGGGGACGATGCTGGAGCCAGAGGCCCAGTAGGAGTGAGCGGTAAGAAGGGAGTGGAAAAGCCCATAAAGCTCCCAGAGATGTATGTGCAGGTTATGTACATCAAAAACTTTGTGAACGATAAGGCAGTTCTTCGGCCCGTGCGCCTAAAGGAGAATGATAGGTGGAGAGTGGCGGTTGAAATCGATGAGCTCGCGCCCAGAGACGCCTATCTGATCAACGTGGGCGTCGTAAAGCGAAGGAAGAAGGCTATCGAGCACCGAATGGTCACAGAGGACGATGCAGAAGCTGGGGCATACATTCGGCAATTGAGGAAAATGTCAAGAGCGGGAAGGGATTGGGCGAAGGCGCAGGAAAAGATGTTTCCTGGCGAGCCCGTCATTTACAAACCGGGGTCAGGTTAGATAGTTAGGTGGGGAAAGCTGAAGTGATCGAGAAAGGGCGAATCCATCATTTTTTAAAAAAAAAATTCTAAATTTTCTTCTGTATCCCCATGGAAGGCCAGGTAGAGCGGGTTTGTAGGGAGGGAGAGGTAGAGGGGGGGTATATAGTGGGCGAATATCTCCACTCTTAGTAGGCCTTTTCTGTTATTATTATTATTATTATTATTGAGGGGAGATTTCGCTTGTTTCCCGCTGTGGTCAGTGTCTCTATGTAGATACATCATGCATGTATTTTATTGTATTCCATTGTATTGTATGGTAACTTGGCTGATATCAATCGAGAGAGGGTCCTGTAGCACTCTTGTACCGGTGACTTATTGTTAGGATAAAAATACCGGCAGTATATCTGAAAAAGTGGGTGATGCTTCTAGATAGCGTAGCAGTATTATTATTATTATTATTATTATTATTATTATTATTATGATACACAAAAAAACGAATACCGGTATTGCAAACGACGGAATTCCTCCAGCCACAGCATCAAGCACCTTCCCATCCATCCATCGCTCTTACCCGCTATGTGCCGTATCGTACAGCACTTGTACTCGTACTCGAGTACGGTACCGTACACAGCAGCCTCTTGGGGCTGAGAATCCCGCCACCCACCACCGTGCATCACCCCCCACAAAAACTCGGCGCCTTCGGCTCCACCCTGCATAACATAGCGAACTCGAGTACGGTACCGGTACGGTACGATAGTCTACCGCTGACCGGTACCATACCGGTACCATCCTCCGGGGAACACAAGACATAGCACAGATCCAGCCACAACCACAACAAAGGAACAGAGCGGGGGAAAAAAGAAAAGAGAAGAAGAAAAAAGGCTTTACCTTTCTTTTTCTTTTTTAGCGTGAATTCCGGCACGGGAAGGCAGGAAAAACTGTTTTCCTCTTGCCGCATACGAGAGAGAGAGAGAGTTATGGTCCATTGTCAATAAGTTAAGCCCCTGTGCGGTATGGGGGAGTGAGGGCAGTTTGGTATGGTGGGAGGGGAGTATGCGGAGTATCATGATAACGTCGTGTTTCCCCCTTATCCGATGAGGTACTCGAGTACTTGTATATCGGTGCGGGGGGTGTTTGTGCACCTGTCAACCCATCGGGAATGGTTTTGCATGGTGGTGGCGGGGTCCCGGTTCTCGTGATGAATGGGTTACGATACCTTTACCAGAATGGCGGGGGGTAGCTAGACTACCGTATGTGGCTGCTGTACGAGTATGAGTAGAAGATAACGCGGCTGTCTGAAGGGCAAGAAGGAAAAAAAAAAACCCCCCAAGATAATACCAATACCGGTATTGCGACTTTGGAAGCTCTTGACAATCCGAACGAGTTTGGCGGGGGGGGGGAAGAATATCCTCTCGTGTCTTAGACAAATTTTTTAGTGATTGAAGGAGCAAATAAAAAGAAAAGACATCACCATAGGGTAAAACCGACGGCTCACCGAGAAAACCGACAGACACTATCGATATCGGCTTAAAACATAACCCGATGTATGTCTAAGACAGGAGGGATAACTTTTTTCAACTTCGCTCGGATTGTCGAGAGCGTCTACAGTCGCCAGAGTATACCATCACGAGGCGGTAGAGAAGTACTGTACCTAGATGGATGACTTCCCCCCCTTTTTTGGCCCACAAGCCTAAGCGCCGGTAGAGTAATTTAGACGTGAGGTTCCAACCGACCAATCAGACCCCCCCTTCTTATGTTCGTACAGTACCAAATAGTTTCGTTCAAGAAAAGCGCGGCAGGAGAAGGAAAGGTGGCCGGTGCGATCGGATCTGTTTCGTTACTGGCATTACCGCATCCGTATAGCAGAGGTCCAGCGCTACTGTCAGTAATTTACGTCGGTGCTCGAGTGTCATCTTGTACTAGTATCGTACTCGAGTGCGGGCTCGTAGACTTCAAATCACGGGGTTGATTGCCCATGCCATGCCATGCCATGCCGGGTGGCCTAGCACCGTATCATACCGTGCCCGAGCAGATATGGCACGATTTAGACGATAGGGTAAATTATGCAGAGCACGGGTAAGTAAGTTACTGAAGGCGGGTAGGATGCGACTGCCACCGGTATGGGAGGGGAGGTACAGTACTGTACGATGCGCGAGGGTAGAGTAGATTTGTGCTGTACGTATAGTACAGTACTCGAATACAGTACTACTGGTACGGCATCGGAATACTTTACCGTACTTGCGGCCGCACAGCACCGACGGTTTGTTTCTTTTTCGATGTCATCGCATCTTCTCCCGACTTAGGAAAATAGGCAGTTTTATCTGAGGCCATTTCCGCCGTGCTTTTCGGATGACATGGCGAGCAGGAGAGGGGGGAAAGGGGAAGGGGAAAGAGGCTTCTTAACTCGGATCAACCGCGGCATTATATCATGGGTTTTCGCAGACGATTAGACTGCTGATGGGGAAGGGGTGCTCCGCGCTGTGCGGGGTGAGATGCGGTGGCCTGCGATTAGCCTAGTTTGTCGGGGACGGAGAGTGGTTGCATCATAGATCCGCTCCTCTGTCCACCCACCCACCCACCCTCAATCCATCTACTCGAGTACCCGTAAATTTATACCATCCTGGGTCTATTTTCGCATCGCAGCGTGAGTGTGTGAGTGGTGGCTACATGTTGGGGCACGGGTAGTCTAGCTTTTTGTGCTTTGCGCTGAATATTTGAAGTGATGGTGGGTGATTGTTGGTGGTCTACTGGGCCGGTATTAGACTAACTTTGCTGTGCCTGCGCAAAAAGAGAGAGGTATGATATGATGGATGGAGGGATGGATAGGTGATGGGTGATAGGTTGAGTTGGCTTTGGCGAGACGAGGGGGAGGGAGGAGGGTGGTGGTGGTGGTGGTGGTGGGAGGAAAGGATCTGGGACCTGAGTTTGTGTTTGTAGATGATTTTTTTGGAGGACATCGGTAGCAAGATATTATATCACATCATGTCATATTACGGTATCATGCTGCACCCGTATCACTATGGGCCGGATAGAGAGGATTTGTGCTCGGCAGAATTAGAAGAATGGGGAGGGATTATATATCATACCGGTACGTTGTTCCGGTGATTTGCCTGTGAAGGCGGGAGTTGTGGTGTGCTTCGGATATGATACTATACTCGAGTGCAGTCAAGTACTGTACTTGTACTGTACTCGAGTACAGCGTTCGAGTGCTCGAGTATGATACTCGACTAGATTCAAGGCTAAAAAAAAGCGGGGGAAAGCTTATCATACGGTAGCTTATGATAGGATACCGTGCTTTGTTGTCTTTCATCGCCCCGTTAGCCACGGTTGTATTGCGTACCTCTTCCCA